TTCGATCAAGTCGCTTTTTTACTTTTCGAACCATTTCTGCTGATGTTGCTGTTTTCCGTCCAATTCCTTCACGCCGGGCTACGCTACCAATATCACGGTAACGAGCGATGGAACGAGACACAAATTATTTATTCACATTTAAATGGTGGATAGGTCTAACGATATCCACTTGTGGTTTTCCAGCCAAATATGAAGAAATCACACTCTCACGCTTGAATTCCATTACGAGTAACTTTTTTTCTAAAAAATTCTCACCAAATTGGTTTTGTACGCTTGTAAACAATATAGTGAGCTGTCACTGGAATAATTTTGGCAGCTGTTGGACGAGTGGCTTAAAAATGACAGCTGTGTTAAGTTGGTTGCAGTTTTTATACCCTCCACCTTGGAAAGGAGGGTATATTAACTTTGTCATTCCGTTTGTAACATCCCTAAATATTCGTTTTAGACCCCATAAAGTATATATATTCATAATCAGCATAAAATTCTAAGTCGATTTAACGATGTCCGTCTGTCTGTCTGTCCGTCTGTCTGTCTGTTGAAATCACGATACAGCCCACATTATTTGACGTAGAGCTCCAAAATTTAACAGAGCTATTTGCATTGTGTCTAGGATGGTTGGTATTGAAAATGAGATATATCGGTCCACGTTCTGGTATAGTCCCCATATAACGGTACCTCCCGATATTCGGTATTTTGATGATTTATGCCACATTTTTTCACGGATTTGTCTTAAAATTGGTATTTGTAGGTCATAGCGGGTCCCTGAACGTGTGGCAAAACATTGCATGTATAGGTCCACGTTGTGGTATAGCCCCCATATAAAGGTACCTCCCGATATTTAGTATTTTAGTTTTTTTGCCACATTTTTTCACTGATTTGTCTAAAAATTGGTATTTGTGGGTCATAATGGGTTCCAGCTCCGGTGGCGAAACATTGTAATTATAGGTCCACGTTTTGGTATAGCCCCCATATAACGGTACCTCCCCATAATCGGCATTTTAGTGGGTTTTGCCACATTTCTTCTAATGTTTCTTTTACCCTAAGGTGGAGGGTATTAAAAGTTTGGCCCGGCCGAACTTAATGTTTTTTTACTTGTTTCATCTCACCCTGTATGTGTTCTAAAAGTGATAACAATAAACAATGTTGCGTAAACCGCTACCTTAATCAGCTAAAGTCGCTACTGTAGCGATTTAAAAAATTGGTTTTTGCACATCTAAAATCACCACAAGTGGCGCAGAAACCACCAAGTTGGCATCTCTGATTCTTGGTGTACATACATACCTATTAATGAATCTTCGGATTTTAATGACACCTTTCAGGGACAAATAAAATTCATCTAACTTTGTATATATTGGTATATAAATTATGTATTTTAACTATACACACTTTTTTTTTTTTGAAATTTTTGGTTAATTAACAAAATTTGGTTTAAAACTAAAGAATTAATAAAAAAAATTGTTAACAAAAAAACTTTTGTTTTCTTTTAGCATTTCTTAATCAGTATACTTATTTCATAAACATTTAATGAGAATAAAACATTACAGTAAAGTAGAGATTAATGTAAAGCTAAAACATAACTGTTGAGTATTAAATAAAAAAAGTGTTTAAATAAATATGTTTTATTTTTAACGGTAACATTATATGTTCTGGGTAATTTACAAATACATATTTACAGCAAATCATAGATTTTAAAATATATTTATTTGAAATTAATTTGGTTGTATTTTTTTTCTTTCTTAATTTTATTAAAGTAACAGCTAAACTAGTTTGTTCTTATCAACATAGAGATATATAAATATATAAGAAATGAATTCAGATTAATTTAAACTTTCGTACAAGAATATAGTTTTAAATTGTTATTGTTGTATTTATTTAAAAATTATACTTCTCCTTTTTTTTTTTTTTTTTTTTTTGAACTTCATGATAGTCAAAAAGTACTTGCACAAGTTATAGGGCAGCTTTTTGCTTTATTGTATATCATATTTATACCCTACAACACTATGTGTTGGGGGTATTATAAGTTTGATTGGGCCAAAAATTATCTAACACCTCGAAATATTGGTTTACCACATAGGAAAGTATATATGTATCTTCCTATCTCGCCGAGCTGAGTTGATCTGGCTATGTATGTCCGTCCGTCCGTCTGTCTATGTTAATTTGTAATCAAGCTACAGGTCGCAATTATGAACCGATCCTCACGAAATTTAAAATGGAGGTTAGGGTCAGAATAGAACCCTATTGTTTTTGGAGATGAAAATTTTCCTGGTTTTGCAGTTGCTTTATAGGCCACAATTATGAACCAATCGAGGGGAAAATTTACATGGAGTTAGAGTTTGGGACAGAAACCTACCAATTTGGGCGGCCATCGGACAATAATTAGCGGCTAAAAAAACCCTAACTTTTATGTAAGAAAATAGGAAACTCTCCACTAAACCGCGAATATTTTTAATCCCAGCCAAATGACAAATACACTAAAAGTTCACTTCTGACCACTAAGTGATGCTAATAGCCAGAAATCGTATATATAGCAAAATAGGTACAATAAATATGTAAAAAATTGATCTTATTTATTCTGCTTATAAATAAAAAACCGCTGGGCCGATTTTCGCAATTCCCACCAATTCGAAATGGTCTCTTGCCAGAAAAGGATAAAATCTAAGAAAATCGCGGGATAATATAACAATAAAAAAGTTATATCTTTTGTTTCATTTTTTTTTAGTTTTTGTCAAATTTTTTATAGCATGCAATTTTTTTTAATTTGACTTACAATTTTGAATTTTACACCCCAAACCCTACATTTTGAGGGTATTATATCTACGTCGCAATTATCGTCCGATCCTCACGAAATTTTACATGGGCGTAGGGTCAGAATTGAAGCCTACTGTTCTTAGGATGTACATTTAGAGGTTTAAATGGCTAAAAAATTTTAAATTTTTCTAATTTTGTAGTCGTTCTATAGGTCACAGTTGAAAAGTAATCGACACGGAATTTCGCATCGGAAGAGACTTAAGGACAGGGAAGAAGTCTAGCATTTTGGGTGACCATTGGATTATATTTAGCTGTAAAATGGACCACAACTTTCGTGTGCAATTATTTTGAATACTTAACAACACTACGGAGTGCGTAAATATTGGCCAAATTCTCATGGTCAAAAACCTAAGGGTAACCTCTGGGCAGGGCTCTCTGTCATTATTTCAAAAACGAAATTTTCCAAAATGGACTTCGATCATATTGTAGTGTTGTAGGGTATCACATTGTCGACCCCGCACGACTACAGCCACTGCTTACTTGTTTGTAATATTAACTCCGTTATTTTAACTTTATGTATTTCACATATTTACTGCCTATTTTTTTATTTTTTTTATTTTTCAAAAAGCTAAACGTTAAAAAATCGAAATACTAAAAATTAATATCATTCTTTATTTAACTTTTTATGAATATAACAAAATAAATTGCCTTTGGATATTCAACATTATGACGGCTTAAGTAACATTTTCTTTCGGATTTGTATAAAATTTGATATTTGTAGTTCATAATGGGTTCTACCACCAATTTCAGAAAAGTGTGTATATTGGTCCAAGTTTTCAGTCACATTTTTCCATAGAATTGTTACAAATTTGGTATTTAAGACTCGCAATAAATAACAACCATTAAAGCAGAGAGATTCCGATTTTACTACTGCGCCCACATAACGGTTCCACCCACTTGATGGTATTTATTAAACTGTAACTGCATTCTCCTGGCCGATCTTACTTCTATATAAATATTTTTTATAAATGTTTTCTTTACCTCATTGTGGAGAGTATTAAACGTTTTTTATACCCTCCACCATACTATGGAGGGTATATTAACTTTGTCATTCCGTTTGTAACTCCTCGAAATACTCATGTCAGACCCAACAAAGTATATAAATTCTTGATCAGCATAAAATTCTGAGTCGGCTTAGCGGTGTTCGTCTGTCTGTCTCTCCGCCTGCCTGTTGTAATCACGCTATCTTTCGAACGAATTCAGATAGAAAGCTAAAATTTTGCACACATGTTTATTTTTCCAGTAGGCAAAAATTCTAACCTCGAGCTTGAAGAAATATTTATTTAATTATTTAACGGATAAATATCAAAAAAAAAAGCAGTACGTTCGGCTGGACCGAATTTTGAATACTCTCCACCATTCGTAACGTTTTAGAAAAGTAAAAGAAAGAAATAAAAAAAAAATAAAAATACGTTAAAAATTCCGTCACCATTATATTGGGGTCTATACGGAGAGAGGACCCTGGGGGATATACGAAGACCTGAGATTGCATAGGCAATTTTCTGTCACAGGCCCATTACCCATTACGAAGGGCAAACACGAAATTTGAAACAATTCCGGTAAACAATGTGGCTGAAATCATTAAAATATCGGATATAAGGAGATAATAATATATGGGTGCTATACGAAGAACTGGTCCTTCCTAAACAGTTTTCTGTCACAGGCTGTAGTACCCATTACGAAGTGTAAACATGAAACTTGGTACAATTCCAGTGAATAATGTCGCTGAAATCATCAAAATATCGAATATAGGGAGGTACTGACATATGGGGGCTATAGGAAGATCCGAGCCTGCATTGGCAATTTTTTGTCACAGTCTGTAGTACCGATTACGAAGTGCAAGCACATAATTTGAAGTAATTCATCAAACTATCGAATATGGGAAACGTAGATATAGATAGCCCATTTTCAATACCAAAAGTCTTGCAGCCCAAAAACACATTTGAGGAAAATTTAATCAACCTACTTCGATTTGTTCGGAAGCTAGAGAGATTTTCCCAGACGGACAGACAGACAGACAGCCGGTCAGACATCCATCCTACTTTGTGGGGTCTAAAATGTACATTTCTAGGTGATACAAACGTAGTGACATACTTAATAATACCCTCCATACTATTGTGGGGGTATAAAAATAATAATTTTAGACCTAACAGATCTTGATCAGCGTAAAATTCTAAGAAGATTTAGCCCTGTCCGTCTGTTGTAATCACACTAGAGTCGAAACTAATTAAGAGAAGAAGTTAAAATTTGGCACAAAACAGGTTTTTTTGTGTGCAGGCAGGTCAAGTTTGAAGATGGGCTATATCGGTCCACGATATCGTATAACTTCCATATAACGGTACCCCCCTATATTTGGTATTTTTATGGTTTTAGCCACATTTTTCGAGGGAATTGTCTGAAAATCCACACAAGGGTTTTGTTCTAAGTACTTTACCGCCTGGAATAGAATTGTCTATATAGGTCTACGATATTGCATTTGTAGCCAAATTTTTCAATGGAATTGTTTTGAAATCCATGGAGTTCCTTCTGAGTACTCCACCTCCTGAAAGAGAATTGTCTATATAGGTCCACGATGATGATTTGATGATTTTAACGTATTTTAAGTTTGAAGCTCGTAATTTGTACTGCAACCTGTGACAAAAAATTACTTATGCAGGTTCACGTCTTCGTATAGCCCCCATATCGCGGTTTTCATTTATGTTGTTATATGTTGTTATGTTTTTTTGACATTTTCAAGATCTTTCAAAGTGGTGGAGGTATTAAAAGTTTGGCCCCGCCGAACTTTGCTGCTTTTTTGCTTCTCTTTATAATGCATTCAACTTAATTCTGCAACAACGAATCATTCGAAATACAATGAACAATTTTAGCATCAGCCCCTTTAGTTCTTCGGTGTAAATTATTCAAATGAACAAAATTCTTACACCAAGGTGCCTAATTGACTTATATCTACGGTATTCATAGCCACCAATGATGCCGGAGATGAAGTGGATGCAGGCAATGCAACCGCTACCTTTGTTGCCTGCACAATCGTTGGTGAAGTTTCGGCTGCCAATTTGGCAGGTCCTGATGAAAACGCCTGATGCTGCTGCCATGGCGTTAAATCGACATGTGATGAAGGACGTGTTAGGTGGGCCATATGCTGATTAAAATTCTGGCATTGCTGTATTGTCTTCACTGTTGGTGTTGATGTAGTTGTGAATGCATTAATTTCAGTTGGCTTAGGCGGTGGTGGTGGGGGTGGCATTGTTAGTTTCGTTGTTTTGCCAGTGGTCTGCATTGATGCTGTTGGCAATACAAATAGCATTGCTGTTCCTGCTGCTGAGAACGGTACTGGTGATGTAAGTGATATTGCTTCTGTTGCTTTGGTATCTGTTGTTGCCGCCGCGTGCGAATGAAACATTTGCTTCTTAATGGTTTTGGCATTTTGAACGTGTAATGATGTCGACATGTTTTTATCTATCGCCACACAGACGGGTGACATTGCCCTTGTCGGATCTGGTGTATTGTAGAATCTCGCTGCTGTTGGTTCCTGTCCTTCGTTGGGGGGTACTGTGAACTCCTCTAATTCCTCTAAAAGTTGTAAACAGTGTGTAGACTGAGGACGTAATGGCTTAGCCACATTTGTTAATGGAGCAACTTGTCCCTCATTATTGGCCACAAAATCCGGATTTAATTGTCGTTCCTCGTTTGTTTGTTGTTGCGGATGATGATGATGATGATGATGCGTTAATGCTGTGACGCCACTCATTTGTGGAGCCGCATGAACTAATTGTTCTGCATTTGAATGCCTTAATGGAATTGATGTTTTCATCCTTTGTTGTTCGCAATTTGGTTTGGATATTAATTTTTGCAATTGCACAACTTCTTCCACCGACTTGATATTATTTATCAGCAATACTTTTTGTGTTGCTTCCTTTGATGTATCCAACAATGGCTGATGATGATGCTGCTGCTGCAAGCCACTGGCATTTTTTTCATTTTCCAAATTTTGTTGCCGTGCGGTTAGTGCTTCTTCTTGTTCGTCGTCGCCTTGCTGCTGCCTCAAGTATTCCAAACTCAAACGCTCCAATATCGCCAGTTTCTTTTGCAGTTGTTCATTTGTTTCCATCAATGTGGCCTCCACCCGTCTTATATTGCCGCATTGCAGAGCTAGATTGTTGTCCAATTTGTCCATTTCCAATTGTACCTCCTTTTGCGTTTGATTGGCCTTCTTCAGCTGATGCTTCCGTATCTTCGCATGTAATTTTGCAGCCAACTCTTCTTCCCTTTGCAGTTGTTTGTTTAGCGTGTAAACCTTCTCCAACCAGAATATTTGCAATTCAATTTCCGTCTGATTGCGACTGACGACGTCTTCGCCATTTAATTTAAAATCCTGCTCTTCCTCGAATATACTTCCGGGTATATTTGTTGTATTGTTGTTGTAATGTTGCCTTGCAACCTTTTCAAATTTATCTTTTGTCCGCTGCATGCCACTGGCTGAGAGCTTCGTTTCAATATTCGAGGATTTTTCTTTAGCTCGTTTCTTCCTTTTGTCCTTTTTACTATCTTTGGGCTTAAAATTATCCAGTATATCCATTGTTAATGTGTCCTTCGTGGATGTGTGTGTGGTAGTCTCACAGAACTGCTGGCATGGTTCATCTTGAAAATATAAAAAAAAAAACCAAAATAATGAATTGAAAAAAGTGAAATCATAATTCGGTAAATACATTTCGTAATTATTTGTTTGAACGAATTTTAATTTGCGTATATTAATTATCTTGATATCATAAATAGTTTGTAAATCTGAGGACGTATAAGTAATGTCGTATGAGTAATGTGTATGTGTGGGTGTGTGTATGCATAATTCATCATCTGGACATCAATAAAATATTAACAGAATACACATGGAATTTCGGTTAAATATTTCGAGTAAAGTTGGCCTTCATTACTTGGATTATTGCAGTTAATTCAATATTTCTGATTTTACGGACAGCAACGTTTAATTATTAATGCGGTGAAGGATGAATTGCTTGCCAAAGGGAAAATTAATTTTTTTTCTTTGTCGTATGTTCTTTATAGACTTAATAAAAAAAGGCTTAAAAATTTTCTTGACATTTTCAGAGAATGTAAAGGCGCTTTATGCAGTAAAACCGGTTAAATGGGATTTTTAATTTGTCGAAATTCAGGGCGTTACGTCTGTGAATATCGACCGTTCTTATTGTAATCCAATATTAGTGAAATCGCGAATTTCACACGAAAGTCAAAGAAAATAGCTCATTTACTCAAAGAGCGAGACACATCGAAGAAAATCGATTTTAAGTTAAAAAAAAAACTCGTTTTAGTTCATCTAAATTTCCAGAAAATACCAAGCATGGTTCAAGTAAAACTCATAAATTCAATTAACTTTATATTGATTTATTACATAATTCAGGTAACTATGGCTCTAAAAATATCAAAATGAAAATTATACACCCGATAAAGTAGAATTGTGGCAAAAATTTAAATTGCTAATTCAAAACGCGCATTTTTTGAGTCATCCAACTCTTTGAGTAATTGAGCGAAATATGATAAACATTGCAGGACAATTAATGTTTTCCATAATAAAAAGGAAACTATAGCAGATTGTGAAAGTAGAGCTAAAAATAGCAAGTTCCCCCTTATATCACATTTCTTGAAATTTTTCGGATTAAGTTTCCTTGATATCCATTAATTTTAGATGTACAAAGTCTTCGACAATATTACAGACAAAAACACAGGAATTATATTGGTAGAAAGTGTTAATCCTCCGATTAGACAACAAAGTGATCAGTTTGGTTCTTTTTAAAAAAATATTTGTCATAAAATTATACTATAGGTCCTAGAGGTCGTCAAAAGTGTAAATCTTACCGAAATTTGAGTACGTATACATATCATTTTAGAAGAATGACTTCAAAGACAAAAATATTCTTCATCAAATTTCAGTCACCAAAGGAAATAAATCTTTATTTCCATCGAATATCAAAAACAAGTAAGCAACGTAAGCAAAGGTCATAAGCAACCTTATGTCGAAATCCATTGTGGAAAATTTCGCTTTTGAAATTATGTCATGGAGCACTACCCAGATATTACCCTTATCATTTTGACCAAGGACATTTGCGCAATATTTACGCACTCCGTCGTGCTGTTAGTTGTTGTGGGCCATTTTACAGCTAAATATAATCCAATGGTCATCCAAAATGCTAGAATTCTTCCCTGTCCTTAACTATCTTCTCAGGCGTGTCGATTGGCTTAAATTGTGTGATCAGAAAATTGTTTTCTGTTTTTGGTTCATTTGTACGCCTATATATTCTGCGATCATATCCAAAAGCAAGAGGCTCCTTTGTACCCCCTAATTTAAACTCATCTATATGATTTGATTGTCTAGGATATTTGGTTATACCAACGTAGTCAACATAAACAAGTAAAAAAGCTGCACCATTTGGAACGACTGCGGCAATTCTCAAAAACAATAAAATCCATTTAAAATGCTGTTAAAATCCTAAAAATACCGAATCTAGCTGTTATATTAGGGTCTATACGACGACATGAGCCTGTATAGGTACCTTTTGTCATAAGCCATTATAATATTTAAATGCGAAAATTAAAAAAACAAAATCGGTGAATAATGTAGCTAAAATCATCAAAATACCGAATATCGGGAGGTACCGTTATATGGGGGCTATACGAAGACGTGGATCTGCAAAGACAATTTTCTGTCTTCGGCTGTAGTATCCATAACGAACTTCAAATATAAAATTTAAAACAATTCCGGTGAATAATATCGCTAAAATTATGAAAATACCGAATATCGGAAGGTGTCGTTATATATCAAAACGTAGGTCCACATGGCCCATTTTCAATGCCAAAAGACATAATATACATTTGAGTAAAATTTTATCAATCTACTTCAATTCCTTCGGAAATCGTTTTATCGACATAGAATTTTATGCTGATCCAGAATATATATACAGGGTTGCCCATATTCGACGGACACATGCGCCCATTCCAATCGACGAGGCTTGTCCGCAGGCAACATTCTTTGCGTCAATTGAATTTTGTACGGGAACAAATGCAAATCAATGCGAATAATCCGTTGTAAAGTGGACCGAGCCATGCCCAACTGCTGAGAACGGCGTTTTTGGGATGTTCTTGGGGACCTCTCAACACTGGCTCGTACGGCAGCGATATTCTCGGCCGATCGCCTTGGTCGACTTTTGTATGGCCTCTTCGGATTAGAAAGAGACTTACCAGTCGAAAATTTTTCGTATAAACGCTTAATGGTGTTCTTAGAAGGTGCACTTCCCACCTTTTTTAATGTTTTAAAAGCACGTTGAGTTTTTACAATTGACTTCTTCTGTTGAATATAAATTTCAACTATTTCAGAGCGCTCGCGTGGCGTGTATTGGTTCATGGTAAAAATCTGCTTGGACTGACGCTTCAAACGCGGTATGTCATTAAGCGATGTGACATCTCTGTCAAAAGTTATGGCGTTGCCAGATGGGTCCGTCGAATATGGGCAACCCTGTATACTTTGTGGGGTCTAAAACGTATATTTCGAGGTGTTACAAACGGAATGACAAACTTAATATACCCTCCATACTATGGTGGAGGGTATAAAAAGCCAGACATTCGCCTTTTGTGTACTTCGGATATCGCCTATAAGTAATGTTAGTATTTTTTCACACAAAAGTAGTGGTCCATTCTACCCGCTGACCTAAACTCTAACTTCATGCGAGATTTTGTGTCCTTTGGTTTCTATTTGTGACATTTATAACGTCTGCGAAATGTTCCTTTTTAGTTGTTGGTCCATTTCAACCCCTAACTATATTGTGGATATCTTTGAAAACAATAGGCCTAGCCCTTCTGAGCCGAACCCTACCACTTGTGAACATTTTCGTGAGGATCGGACAATAATTGCAATCTGTATAGAATAACCCCAACCTGTGTTGTAAGGTGAAAAACTATTACAAAGGCTACAGTCGAGCGGGGCCGACCGTTGAATACCCTACAACACTATAATAAACCATACAGTTTATACAGGCGAGATACTCGAAAGAACTCCACAATGTTTCGTTCTCTAATTTTCGGATAATAGCAGCTTAAACTAATTTGCTCATTTCCAATTTATTGGTAGATGTCGCTGGAATGGACATTTTCGTATTTAGTCTACAAAAGTTAGCAAACTATTTCACACATTGAATATTTTGGATGGCCATCCGAAACTGCTTGGCTTTTGCAATGTGCGGTAACCCCCATTCAAATGTGCGTGAGGATCGGGCGATAATTACGACCTGCTGACAATTTGGCAGTTTTTTGATCCATTTCAACCCCTAAATATATAGCGATCATCTCCAAAAAGAGTAGGCATCTATTCTGACCCTCATCTTATCCCCATGCAAAATTTCGTAAGTATCTGTATATGATATCCTAATATCCTAACTACTTAGTTTTGATAGCTGTAGAAATATTACCAAATGTTTAATTCAAAATGAAAATATGCCAAAAATATGACAAAATTGAAAAAATATGAGAAAATATTACAAAATCAATATTTTCGTTATTAGAGAGATATTTTTATGCAATTTTTTTAGAGGTTTTTTTTCCTGCCAAGAGGTCATTTTGAATTAATGACAACTGTCGAAATCAGTTCAGCCGTTCTCGACATATAAGAGATCTTTCAAGCATATCTTTTTTGATAGACATATATATCGCACATATTTTGCTATATATCCGATTTGTTGGATGTTAACATCAATATAAAGGTCAGAAGTAACCTTGTGATGGCTTTGTGACTTCGCCGGGATTTAAAAAATTCACTGTTTAATGAAAAAAATTGAATTTTTTCAACACAAAAGACATGGTCTATTTTACCCGCTAAATATAATCCGATAACCACCCAAATTGGTAGACTTCTTTCCCGCCCTAAACTCTAGCTACATGCTACATTCCGCGTCGATTGGTCTATAATTGCGACCTGTATAGCCACTGCAAAATCCGACATTTTTTCAGTATTTGGTCCATTTCAACCCCTAAACATTTGGCGATCATCTCCAAAAGAAATAGGCTTCAATTCTGACCCTAACCCCACCTTCGTGCAAAATTTCGTAAGGATCGGGCCATAATTGCGACCTGTAGAGTGATTAAATATTATGCCATCATCCAGAAATTTCGTGAAGATCAGGATATAATTGCGACCTGTAGAGTGATTACAAATTAACATGGAAAGACGAACGGACATACATACATAGCTAGATCGACTCAGCTCGGCGAGATAAGAAAATCTATATATACTTTCCAATGTGGGAAACCAATATTTCGAGGTGTTTCATAATTTTTGGCCCAATCAAACTTATAATACCCCCAACACATAGTATTGTAGAGTATAAATTTTAAAGTCAATATTCCCAAAAAAAAAAAACAAGTAAAAAATATTTAAATGAGCCGGGTCGAGCTTTTTATACCCACCACCAGTGGGCTAATCTAAATTCAAACATGTATCTGAATTCAAACATGTTCCACTAGTTTTAAGTGGAAGTGAGTGAGGCCGTTATATGGGGAACCTATGTAACCAACTTTGTAATACAGTGATTGTTATCTATTGCGAGTCTTAAATGGCAAATTTGAAAAAAAAAATCGTGGGC